GTAAATTTCCCATAGAATGTCAACACTAGAACTCACAAAATAAAGGAGAAAATAAAAGTCAAAGAGGATGCTGGGAAATGGGTCTCCTCCTGAGATTGAGAAGTGGGCTTGTGGTAGTGCCCAGGGTAAGAAGGAAGGAGTAAGAAACCGGCCGTAGGTGAAAGGCAAGGGTCTATCCTGACCGGATGAAGAGCCGGGCCGGGTGCATTCTATGTGTTTGACACGGACATGAGCCTGACTCAGCCCAAGCACTAACCCCTTCAGCTATCAGGGGCTTTGGATGGCGGCTAAACTGTCATTCAGTAATGTCACCTTTCATAGTATGCAAGTCTGAACTATATATCCAATCCTCAAGATTACTCTGAAAATACTTTCTCTCCTGATTTTTTGTTTTGTTTTGTTTTAAGAGATAACATGATGTGGATTATGGAAGGCTAGACCTGGACCAGATGTCCAGCAGCTGCCATACTCGGCCTAATTTCTATAACTAGCCTTGTCTTTGCACAAGCTGCCTCCAGCCTCAAAATTCTGTTCCCTCACCTGGGGGAAAAAAAGAGCTGACTTGTCAGGCTTCCGGTTCCCTTCCAGCCCTACGGAAGGGATGCTGTGGGAATATTTTCTAATCATTTGCCTATTTCACCTAGAAACTAAGCACAGAGGATGTGTTTTGAACATGGCTGATTATTTGTATCAAGTCAAGGCTTGGCTAGATGCCTCTCATTTTTCTTTCTTTTTTTTCTTTTTGGTTTTTTCGAGACAGGGTTACTCTGTGTAGCCCTGGCTGTCCTGGAACTCACTCTGTAGACCAGGCTGGCCTCGAACTCAGAAATCCGCCTGCCTCTGCCTCCCAAGTGCTGGGATTAAAGACGTGCACCACCACCGCCCGGCGCCTCTCATTTTTCTTAATTATTTCTCTCTCTTTTTTTTTATTTTGGGTGGTTATTTTGAGACTGTATTTCACTGTCTAGCCCAAGATGGAGGCCAACCTAGGACTTACTCTGTAACCCAGGCTAACCTTTAACTCAGAATTCTATTGCCTCGGACTCTCTAGTGCTAGGTGTCAGATGTACCTCCCACAGCTAGCTCCAAGTGTTCTTCTGTGTCTTTATTTTGTCATTATTTAATTATTTTGGAGTTCATGAATTGAAGGGAACTGAAGGCATTCACTTTTTAAAAGCCCCTTAAGACAGACTAATTCTGTAAGGGAGAGAGTGAACACATTAAACGGCACTGTTATTAGACTGTAGAAAGCTGTAGTCATAGTAATCAAATATTTTCCAAATCCATGAGAATCAAAGTAGATATCATGGCCTCTCCTTATCCATTATTTACAATGGATATATCCCAAGACCTTCAGCAGATGCCTGACAGCCCAATAATAACAAACTCTGTCTCTTTATGTCTATCATCTATCTATCTATCCTATCTATCTATCTATCATCTATCTACCATCTATCATCTATCTATCTATCTATCTATCTATCTATCTATCATCTATCTATCTATCTATCTATCATCTATCTATCTATCATCTATCTATCTATCTATCATCTATCTATCATCTATCTATCTATCTATCATCTATCTATCTATCATCTATCTTCTATCTTCTATTAATCTATCATGTTTTATTTTATACCTACGTACCTATTATGTTTATATAGATAATTTCTAAGTCAAACACAGTAATTTCATAAGGATAATCAAAAATAGAACAGAATAATTATTATCACAGTATAGTATAATAACAAATTAAGGATATGAAATCTCTATGAAAATATCTTGTGGTGTTCTTCCCTTCCTGCTAAGGGCAACACTTCATGGCTTCTCTTTAAAATACCCAAATGGCCAGTAGCCCTCCTCTGGTTCTTTGGTAGCACTACAAAAACAAAATAGAGATTATTTTAGATGGTTCCGTGGTTAGATGCACTTGTCACCAAGTCTGATGACCTGACTTTCATTCCCAGGATCTGCATAGTAGACTACAAGACCTGACTTCCACAAATTGTCCTCTGACCTCCGTATGTGAGGTGTGGCATGCGTGCCCCGCTCAACAAATAAATAATTTTTTTTTTAATTTCTAGGAAGACCTCACTTAGATATACTGTGTTTCTGTGACAGTGGACCTGATCATCAAGGCAACTATTGACTAAAGGCTGATTAGCATATACATCGCAAATCTGTGCTAGGCAGAGATGTGGTTTACCACACAACTCGGAACACCATCCAATCTTAAATCTGTATTTAGTTCTGAAGTTTCCCGTCTCATATTTTTAGGCACAGTGAAACTTAAGTAACTGAAGTCACAGAAAGAGAAAAAGAATATCTATGGACAAGGAAGGCTACCATACTGGCCCAAATGATTAAGTTAAGATAAATTCATTACTGCAGTGTATTGCAGATAAGTACCTTCTGTTTTTAATTTAACATCATATTCCAGTGTCACACAGATGTCCCTGGTGAAGATAAATGCGTAACAAAATGGAATAATCATGAATCTAAGAAAGGGACAGTGTGGGGGTATGGGTGGGAGTGTTAAGAGAGGGGGGAGAGAGAGGGGGTGGGCAGAGAGGGGTGGGGGTGGGAAGAGAGGGGTGGGGGTGGGAAGAGAGGGGGTGGGAAGAGAGGAGTAGGAGTGGGAAGGAGAGAGTAACTATACTTCAGTATGTACATGTATAACTTGTCAAAGAATAATTTAATAAAAATTGTAACCTCAATCATATAAAAGGGCAAAGAAAAGCCATGGACACTAGAGACTGGAAAGTGTGGGGGAAGTGGAAAGTAGCCACATAGAAGGCGCTGAAGCATATGTCTGGCTCTCTATAGCACAGCACTGTAGATATTGGTTAAAGCAATCCATGATCATTTCCAAATGACTGCTGTATAAAAAAATTCCCAGCACATAAAAATCATGGACATCCACGGCAACAGAAGTGCTTCACACAATGTCTGTCATACATTGCCTCCTGTGTCAAGCTATGAGAGCCCACTCCACAAAGATATGAAAGCATTATATTTCAATAGAAAAAAAATTGAGGAAAAAATAGAAGTTTAAAAGTAGCGCATCAAAAAATAAATGAGAACAGGAGAGAAAAAAAAGAGAAACAAGTGTTATTCTCATCTTAAATATAAGAAAAATATAAAACCAACAGTAATTATTTTGTCAGCCAGCTTCACTTTATAAGAAAAAAGAAAGTGGATAGGTTCCAAAAAATATTAGAAAGTGTTTACAGAGATATTATTAGAAAGTTTCTGTTATGGAAAAATACTGGAGAAATATTTATATAGTGTTTTACTCTGCTAATAAGCTGGGCAAACAGGAGTGATCGCATGCTGTCCTTCCCTACAAAGGGAAGAAATTGGGTTCCAGAACAACTCAGGGTCCTGGATTCAACCATAGAACACTGGTTCTGGTATTAGCAAGAGGCCCAGATTTCCGTAGAAGTTATTAAATCTCTATAGAGTCCTTCCAAAGTCGTAAGATGACTGCTAAGACCATACGACATTGTGCTGAGTTCACAGATTACAACAGTCTTTAATGATCTCAATCACGATACCATTATCTCTTTTTTGATAGGATATTTTCTTTATTTACATTTCGAATGATATCCCCTTTCTCAGTTTCCCCCCCAACCCCTCTATTCCATCCCCCTTCCCCCTGCTTCTATGAGGGTGTTACCCCAACCACCCACCCACCCACACCTCCCTGCCCTGGAATCCCCCATACTGCAGCATCAAGCCTTCACAGAACCAAGGGCATCTCCCCCCATTGATGCCTGACAAGGCCATCCTCTGCTACATATGCAGCTGGAGCCATGGGTCCCTCCATGTGTCCCAAAAGCAAATCGAAACAACCCTGAGATTCTACCTCACACAGTAAGAGTAGCTAAGATCGAAAACTAAGGTGACAGCAGATGCTGGCAAAGATGTGAAGAAAGAGGAACATTCCTCCATTGTTGGTGGGATTGCAAGCTGGTGCAACCACTCTGGAAATCAGTCTGGTTGTTCCTTAAAAAATTGGACATAGTACTACCTGAGGACCCAGCTGTACCACTCCTGGGTATATAGATGCTCCAACATATAACAAGGACATATGCTCCACTATGTTCATAGCAGCCTTATTTATAATACCCAGAAGCTGGAAAGAACCCAGATGTCCTTCAACAGAGGAAATCTTCAAAATCTGGGATTTTGTTTTTGTTTTCTGACCTATCTTCCAGTTCAAAACGTTCCTTCAACTATTTGTTTATTCTGATGTTAAATCATTTTAGTGAAATTTTCTATTTCAGTTGTAATTTTTTTTAGAGTTCTAGTGTTTATTTTTCTCTTTTCCAATCTGTTAGGTAAGTCTTTACACTTTTAGTTTCTTGCCAAAACATTCCAACTTGGCATCTCCTTAAACCTGGAAGTTGCATTTACTTTGTAGGCTTGATCTGATAAATCCCATACTGGAAGCTTCATTAGGTAGGTCTACTTTTTTCGTCTGTTGTTTCTATTGATGGTGGTTTGTGCTCAGTCATCTTTGACTGTGTGCTGGACAGTGTACCTGAAAACACTGAAGAAATAGTTTTATTCATATTGTATTACCCTAAGATTATTGATAGAAATAAAATTATTTTATCTCTACCAGTAAGACATGGGCATGTGTGCATGTGTGCAGGTACGCGCGCATGTTCTGTACATACAGAAACCAGACATGGACATCAGGCATTTTCCTCTATCACTCTCCACTTTATTTTTCAAGACAAGTCTGTCACCAAGCCTGGCACTCACTGACTGAGTTACTTAGCTGGTTACTGAGCCCCTAAGACCTCTCTCTCTGTTACTCCCAACACTGGAGTTATGGAGGAATGTTGCCACAACCAGTCTTTTACAGAGGTGCTGGTGATCCGAACTCAAAACAAGGTCTTGATGCTTGTGCAGCAAGTTACTTACCCACTCAGCCATCTTCCCCAGCCCATGTTGTTAAAATAATCACATGTCAGTGGTTTCTTTTTTCTTGCATCCTGTTCACTTTATTTTTGGCAGTGCTGAGAACTGAAACTAGGGCCCCATGCACAGAAGGCAAGCCCTTTACCACCGAGCTCCGGCTCCAGCCCTGAGCTTAACTTTCTTATATTATCACACCTTTCTTTTCTAAACAAAAGTAAGTTAGAGAGACGCCTTTATTAAGCAACATAGCTTATGAACTGATGGAATTCTCATTGAATGATGTCATCTCTTTCTTTCTTTCTCTCTTTCTTTCTTCCATTTTTATTTAACTCATAAGGTTCTTCACGTGTATTCTCCCATTTTCATTAAACGTTTCCTTGGGCTGTTAAATAATTTCTCAGTTCAATGACGACTTCTTGTCCAAAAGGCTTCAAACAAAGTATTTGGGTGTATTCATGTGAAAATGATGGTTGTTCTCATAATTGTGTCCTTCTTTGTAGGAGCCAAATCTAAAAAGAGAAAAAACTGACATGGGAAAATGTCACAAGATACAGGTTTGAGAGAGAGAGAGAGAGAGAGAGAGAGAGAGAGAGAGAGAGAGAGAGAGAG